CTGAACCTTCCATCAATACTGATCTAAAAAGCAAAGATTCCCTGCAAAAGGGGAGGCTGGACCTCACAATGGTCAAACAGAATTTCTCAGCAACAGTTTTTCAGAAAATGTGAAACTGGATCTTGATAATTGGGAACCTGCCATCATCATTAAGCAGAAAAAGCATACAGACATCTGTTCTGTCCGGGAACACAGAGAGCATACTAATTACAAGCCACTGCCTTGTACAGAACACAGTAGCCTCAGCTTGGACAGGCTGTCCACCAGGAGGACAGAGGCTGAGAAAGCTGCAGTAAGCTCAGAAGCATTGCAGGCTACCATTGAAGAGTCTGGTGGCTTGAGACTGCCTCTTACCAACAAGTGAATGAATCATATGGCACTCCTCCATCACTGCCCCATCCTCCTCTTTTGGACCCTGAATTTCAGGAACAAATCTCTTAACTGAGCCTGCATGATGAATTGTGCTTTTCATTCCCTAACCCTATCAACATACGCTCTTCTCTCCTGCTTTTTCCCAAAATTTATCCACCTGTCAAGGCTCATCTCTAGATCCACATCATTCATTCACTAATTTGTCCATTCACAAAAAATGAGTACTTAATTTGCACAAAGTAATGTACTAGTCACTTGTAAAATACCAAGTGAATTGTGGATAATTCCTTCCCTTATGATGTTTACAAGCCTAATAAGGGAGAGTAAATAGATACCCAAATGCCAATCCAAAGCAAAACAAAAAACAAAACACAAAGTGGTACATAAGACAGGTATAACCAAATGCTTTAGGGGTTCAAAGTAAAGAACAATGAATCATATTCAAGCATATTCAAATAAAGCCTGAAAAGGAGGTGTTCATGCTAGGACTTGAAGAAATGGGTTATACTCAGAGACACACATATATGGGGGAAGACTCATAGAGAACCACCAAAGTAAATAAAGGGAAGGAAAAAAATACAAGTGTTTTTGAAAAACACAGAATATACTCAGTATGATAAGAAATGAACTTTTAAGAGAAATCATGAACTGTAAGATCACAGGGCAGGCTAAAGCCTAATGTCATCATCCCTTCGGAAAACCACCCAGGAAACTACAGCCTCTGCTGAGACGTCTTCTCTGTGACTTTCCATAATGCTTGTTTGGATCTCACCTTTTGTGCTCTAAATGGCAGACATTCAGTGAATGTGTGTTGAATAATGAATTGAGAGAGTCACTAGTTAATATTTCTGTGAATGAATCTCCATACAACAGGGAAATTGTGTGATATGTTGTAAATGAAAACCTGGTTGTTCCAAGTGATCATCTTTGTTCCTTCATGTTTGCAAACCTAATAAATAAAAGTTGTAGTTTGTGAAAGGTGAGATAATGGTGGAAATGTAGTACATTTTAAGGTTATTTTGGAATGTATAAATCTTAACTCACTAATTCAACAACTCCAGGTTGAGAGAGAAGCAGAGGTAGACTTACTAGTGGAAGGTGGTAGACCTGTGCTGCCCTAAAGTGCCTGGATAGGCATGTGCACTTCTGTGCCACTCCATCAGAAACTTCCTCAGAGAGGCCAGTGATGGCACAAGTTGGAAGTAGATTTGGTAAAACAAGAGATGAGACAAATGGAGAGTGCTTAGAAAACCAAACTTAGAAGATTTGAGTCTCCATGCTGAAAATTTTCATAGACTCCCACATTTAACTAAATAATAATAATCTATATATAAAAGCCTAAGCCACTGTTATGACTAAACAACTGGAACTACTGGTTGACCAGTCACTATGATGCACACTGACCACCAGGGGGCAGATGCTCAACACAGGAGTTTCCCCTTGGTCATCAGTGCACTCCTACAGCCAACCTCCTGCAGCCTCTCCCCCCAGCCTGTTGGCCCCCATTGCCCCCTGGTGCTAAACCATTTGTAGAGACCGGGTTGGGGTTTTGTATGTAGCAGAACACCTTCTTTGCTGTGATCTATTAAAAGTCAGCCCTTGAAATTATAGTCTGTCTTTCTCCCATCCTCTTCCTTCCTAGAGGTCCTCCTGCCCACTGTGATAGCAGCACAGCAGTGAGGGAGGGGAGGAGGAAGGAGGGAAACTGAGGGGTATCAGGGCATCCATTCCTTCTGTGCCCAGCCTGGTGACCATTGCCTTCTCTCCCGACCCTATTGGGGCCTTCAGGTCCCAGGCTGAGACAGTCAACTGGGAGTGGGTGGCAGTGTACATGGCCCCTTTCTCAGGGAGGCCGAGAGATGGCTCCCTCCTTGGGGCCAGTGGCTAACCTCCTTCTGCAGTCTATCCTCCCAGGCCAGCCATCTGTGAACACCCCATTCATAAATTTGTGCACCGGGCCTCTAGTAATATTTATAACTTATTGACTATTATGTTTCAGTACTTATTGAATATTTGTTATAATAAATACTTTATAAAAATAACTTCACTTAATTCTAACTATAAGAAATATATATTATTATAACCGTTTTATAGATGAATATAACATGGTACAGTTTGGTGAAGAAACTTGACCAGATTGAATAGTAGGAATTAGCAGAGCCAGGATTAAAACCCATGTCTGTCTAATGTCAACTCCTATTTGAACTACCTTTCTGCATTAATGGATGATGGATTCTTCATGTGTTGTCAAAGAGACCAGGTGCTTAGCAGAAACCAGCAAGGTAGACATTGAGAAGTCAGCCCTGCCCTTCTTGCAGCCCAATCTCTGACAAAAGTATCACTGGGAACCCCCAGATGTTTGCATGTGTGCTGATTCTTATGGGCTTTCAAGGATGGGAAAGCACACGGGTCATTCACAATCTAAGAATAAATAATTATTCAACAGATCCATACACTAAATATGAGAATTCAACAAGCAACTTGTCAAAGCTTCCAAAAAATGCACTTTCATGAATACTGAGAGGGGAGAAAGAAAAAAATGGCACCTAACAGACTTCAGTAGTGTTGAAAAGTATAGTAATCCTCCCTCCCCATCCAGGGTTTTGCTTTGTGAGGTTTCAGTTATATGCACTCAACCGAAGTCTAAAAATATTTAGTGAAAATTTCCAGATATAAACAATTCAGAAGTTTTATGTTGTACACTGTTCTGCAGAGCATGACATAATCTCACACCATCTCACTGTCCCACCCTGGACATGAGTCATCTCTTTGTCCAGCTTCTTCACATTATGGGTGCTCCTGCCTGTTAGTCACTCAGTAACCATCTCGGTCATGACATCAACTGTTGAGATTTCACAATACTTGTGCTCACATAATCCTTATTTTACTTAATTATGGCCTGAAAGTGTGAGAATAGTGATGCTGGCAATTACATTATGCCTCAGAAAAGCTGTAAAGTGTTCCCTTTAAGTGAAAGGTAAAAGTTCTTGACTTAATTAGGAAAGAAAAAATCCTAAATTATAACTTGAACTTTGTTACAGGTGCGCGTGCGAGCGAGTGTGTGTGTGCGTGCGTGCGTGCGTGCGTGCGTGTGTGTGTGTGTGTGTGTGTGTGTTTGGTATATACAGGGTTCAGTGCAACTATTTGGGGTCATGGACCACATGCCACTTGGATAAGGGCATCTACTGTAGTGTTGAAACTGGGGTAAGACTTGTGGACTGGTGGAACAAAGACAACATCCCTATCCTTGATTCCCCTTGAAACATTTGCTCAATAGTTGCTTTGGTCTGTTCACTGTTTAATAAAAATAATTGTTTCTTGTGATTTTTAGGCAAAATATAACTTATACCCTAACTCCTCTCCAGGATATAACCCTGTAGATTCCAGCCCACCTCTCCCCTTTAATGGTGGCCTGCAATGAGTAATTGCCAGCTTGTATCATCATGGATACAAGTAATTTCTTTCTCTACCTCTGCCTCTTCATATGTAAAACTGGAGTAAAAAGGAAGACGTACTACTTAGGGATGATCTGAGGATTTAATGACATAGAATATGTGTAATTAATGTGTGGGTAATGTGCTTAAAACAATAACTGGCACATAGTAAACACTGTGTAAATCAGGCATGGGGAAATCTTTTCTGCCAAGGGCCATTTGGATATTTATAACATCATTCATGGGCCATGCAACATTATCAACTTAAAAATTAGCCTGCTATATTTGGTCAAACATTTAATTAACTCACCCCTAACACCTTGGCAGGGCCAGACCAAATGATTCCGTGTGCTGGACATTCCCCACCCATGATGTAAATGTTAGGTGTAATTATTTATATGTAGAATGGTTGTTTAAATGTTAACTACCCTGGGAATCATTTTCATTAAATGCTACTTACCAGTGCTGCAGAATATCTCATGAACCTAGGGTCATTCATATAATCTCTTGTCTATATCCACACAAATTTTCTGAGTTATTCACAGGTATTTTATTTTTCTGGCGTGTTGTTGTCTTTGTGTGTGTGTGTGTGTGTGTTCATAAATATCATCATTTAATCCCTTTCCTTCATTGTTCTCCCATCTCACCCACTGAGACTTCCTGATGTTGGGGTCAAGGGCAAGATGCGGAACTGAAGGCACCCGATGCAGACAGAGGGGAGCAGGTTCTTTCCTCTGGGCAGCACTCTGGGAGTCAGAGAAGCTCTTCACCCATGTATCCTGAAGGAAAAAAAAAACAAACAAACAACAGGGTGGGAGAAGCCTCTACACATCCTAAATGGTGGAGAATCAGACATCTGTCTACCTTCTCTATTCATTAAAAAATATACGTGTACTGAGCCTGGTATGGCCAGCCAATATGCTGGGCAAGAGAAGAAAAGGGTGGACAGGCAGAAAAGCAGACAAGGTGGCCGATCCTAGCACCATGAGCTTCTTCAGGGCACAGTGACCAGACTTTCACATAGCAGATGCTCTCTAGGGAAGCACAGGCCCTAAGTGCTGGCCAGAAGATGGCCCAGGCACCTCAGAGCTCGGGACCCCGCCCACTCACCACTCTGGACCCGCCCACTGGATGCTAGCCGGCTTAGCTCGGATCCCGCCCCTTTGGCAGCAGCAACAGCGGCTGCGCAGGACTCGGAGGCACGCACGCGGGCACCCAGCTGTCAATCAGGTGCGGGGTGAGCTTGGTGCGGCGGGAGCAGCGGGGAGGCGGCGGTGGCGATGGGACCCCAGCGAGAGATCTGCGGCTAGCAGGCTGCACTTGCTCCACGGGTCCGGGGATTGGAGGGGACAGGTAAAGCCCAGGGTGCGGTGATATATACTCGGCTTGTCCTCCAGTTCTCCCTCTCCTTCCTCTCTCTCTCTCTCTCTCTCTCTCTCTCTCTCTCTCTCTCTCTCTCTCTTCTCGTCTCTCTCTCTCTCTCCCCCTTCCTTCCCTCCTATTTCTCGTCATGTGTATTAATGTGCATAAATCTACAAAATCCAAGAGCAAATCAGGGTTTGCAAACTCCATGCTTTGACGATTTGTTATGTAAGAATTTGGAAGGTATAGGGGTAAACTTAAGAGTTTCTTAACTGTGAGACAAGGTAAGTTGTATATTAGGTAAGAGTGAATGTTGTGTATTTGGAGTTTGGGAAGCTGGTTTGATTTGTTTTCCAGACTGAATTTAACCCCCACTTGCTCTCCCTACTCCTTTGCCACTTCTGAAAATGTCTAAGTATTTTGATATTATCTCAGGACCTAATTCTTGTGTGGTTAGAAAGGGGGGTTGAGTAGGGGTCAGACTAAGGCTGATGACCTCAAAGAAAACAGAGCTGCAGTTAAACAGCTGGTTTTCTGTTTGTTTTTTGTTTGGTTCCTGGCTCAGTAGCAGAAATGTTTTCAGAACCTTGGAGAGCTCCTTGGCTCCAGGCCAGCCTTTGGTGAAGGGCAAGTGTGGAGTCAATTCCTGCAAAGAAAACCGTCAGGTTGGGGGTGGGGGTGTGTGTGCAGCAACTGATAAGGAATGGAAATTTAATTGATACAGGCACAGATGAAAGAGAGTGGGTGGGTGGGCGGGTGGAGAGAAGGGAGGGAAGAGGAGGGAAGACGAAAGGGGAGAAAGGGCGGGGAAGTGAGGGGAGAGGAAAGTAAGGGGGAGAAGGAAGGAAAGTTGCTTGTTTTCTTTTGCTTATCAGATTCAGGATATCTACAAAATAAAAATTTGGAGCAAAGAAAGGAACCTCGGAGAAAATTTGGCTATGATTCATATGCATTGAACCTACAAAATACTGAAAACAGTTAAACAGTTCTCAACTAGCTTTATTCAACCTCAAATCTTTGAGGTTTTCCTTAAATGGAATGGGAATTGTTCATCAGAAAGAATTCTTAATGATCTCTTGAAAAATTTGCCCCCAGTTATTATTTTATTTTGCATGTCTAGAGTAATGCATGAAACCAATAGCTCTATTGCTGGCAATGACTTTTTAATTAAATTTTGCATGGGCACCTGGTTTTCTTAGTCAGATGAAAAGTAAAATTATCAGGATAGGAAGAAAATAGATATAGGAGTGAAAACCAACCTAATGGGTAAATCAACCAAAGAGTCTTAATAAGTCTAAAGTGTATGTACTAGATCAGAAAGTTCAATGGCTATAAAACTCACTTATTTTATAATATAATAGAACAGGCACCAAATAGATTACTTTTGGAGTATCTAGGAAGCATGTAATCTTTTTACTTATAATTTGTAAAGTACAAATGAATCAGTCTAAGTGGTATTATTTACTGCATGGGATATAATTTATATAAAAATCATAATAGTGTTTGCATAATGTGTTATAGTTTACAGGGCTCTTTTCATTTGTATTGTCTTATTTACTCTATAAACTCACAAGAGCCCATTAAAAAGTTACAAAATGTTATACTTTTGTTAAAAAGCTATCTCTTTTCTTGAACAAGAAGTTCTTTGTTAATGTTTTTGTTAACATTAAAATGATTCTTTGTAATTTGTAAAAATGGCTTATGAAAGTTAGGTTTTTATCTAGATCACATTCTTCAGAGATTTTTTTTCCTCTTAAATAGGCTTGAAGAATGTGCCATTAAGAAGAAAGGTAAAAGAGTAAATAACAAAAAGAGGAAGAGGACTTCAAAGGTCAGACTCAAACCTTGTCACGTGTTGATTTATGAGCACCTTGTCATTTGCATGTAGACAAATAAGAGATTTTAAAAAAATATGGGTTCTTTTCATTTTGATTTTAGACATTATATAGTTTTCTTAAAAATAGATCTTGAAGGAGTAAAATAATAAGATAATTGCATGTCATCACCCCTCCTTTAAAAATTACATGGTAGATGCATAGCCATTGATTTTCAGGGTATAAAAAGCTCTAAGTTAGAGCCACAAACTCTACCACTATTACAGGAGAATGAAATACCTTTGAAATGATCTAGAAACACATTTTCAAGTTTCAAGGTTATGCTTATATAATTCTAGGATGCCTGCTTAAGAAGTGAAAAAGCTGTGAACAGGCTTTCACTTCTTCCTGCATCTACTGTGAGTCTGAATCTTTTAAGTGAATTGACCTTTTGGTTTGGTGCTGGGTAAATGGTCTAAATCAGCCATGTGCCTATACCTTGCAGAGCTGGCCCTGTGGAAAAGTGGCTCTAATGGGAAGCTCACTCTCATTATCTCAGAATGATTTTATGGGAGAGAAAAGCAGTATGAAAATGGAATGATATTTCAAGTAGAATAAATAGAACAGGGCCTGTGCCTGGACTCAACAACTGACTCACACACAGAGCCATGGGAAAACACTCATCCCTTTTATGCCTCAATTTTCTGTCAGTCTTCTCTCAAGGAGGCCATGAAGACAAGTAATATAAAATCAGTAATATTCTTAGAATTTCATGAGGCATAAATATTTATTTCTGTTTTCATGGCTATGAACATTTTTTAAGTAAAATAAAAAGTAACTATATATACTAGACAAATTCAAATTTCCAACAAATTGACACTGTAGTATATTGGCATACATAGAAATCAAAATAACACATGTGTGAGTTTGTTTGCCAAATAGAGGAATTGTTCAAGGGATTCTCAGTATTTGTACTTCTGCTGCAAATGGAACGGTATTGGTACTTGTTCCACTGCAATTATTGCCTTATGAAGACTTCTCCTTCAAGTCCAAGGGTCTATTGAGAACAGACTGTGCCCTGCTCATCTTTGTAACAGTATCTCACATAATCTAGCACATAATTAGGGCTTTAAAAAACACTGAAGGAACAGAGGAATGACAAATGAAGGACCACTCAGGCCATCACCCACATCAACCCAGGCAGAGCTCTGTGCCAAGAAGTTTCAAAGTGCTTTAGATCAAAGTGGTAAACAGTACAGAAGTCCCTGCCCTTGTGAAGCTCACAGTCTATCATGTACCTGGTCTTTCATGGCATACATAATGGATATCAGGTAGTAACAAAAACAATGAAGACAAACAGATTTTACAGGGAGATAGAGAGTGATAGAGGGTGATATTTAATATGCAGATTGCAGAAAACCTCTCAAAAAAGTTTGGAAGGGAAATGATTTTCTCCTCTTATGGGTTTCTGGGATATGATAGGTATGCTGTGTTGCTAAGAACTGAATATCCATTTAATGTATAAGTATACATGCAATTGAGATAGATAGATTACAAAAAAAAATTAAAACAAATGGATGGATCCTCACTTATCAGTACCTAGAATGTCCTCAGGAAGAACAAAAACAACTGCCTCTTCATAGATGACCAAGAAACCAGAGTTGCTTGAGCTCCATCAAAAGGGCCATGTTAGTCCATCAGACATGACTCGGCAGTTGAGCACTGAACTATGAATGGGGAGGTCACAGTTCGATTCCCCAGCAGTGCACATGCCTGGGTTATGGACTTGATCCCCAGTGTGGGTGTGCAGGAGACAGATGCTCAATAATTCTCTCTCATCATTGATGTTTCTCTCTCTTTCTTTATACCTCTCCCTTCCTCTGTGAAATCAATGAAAGTATATTAAAAAAATAAAAACGATGGCCATGCTGGAAATGAGGATGCAACAGGCTCCACAAGAAGTGTTTATAAAATGAATATTCACAGAATTCATTTAAATACAATACTGGAAATATTTTCACTCACCTCTTCCACCCCTTTTCATGCATTTCTTGGGGTGCTAAGGGTTTCTTAAAAAAGGGGAGCCCTCTAGGATCTGTCACTTCACAACAGTCATAGATTTAACATTACTGTTTTTGCTGTTGATACTGCTATAGCTATTGAAATACAAATATCAGAATTCTCATGGAACTTGCTCATTAAACAAATAATGAGCCAAGCTCAAAAGCCTTGAATATATCTTCTATTTCTTCTCTAATTACTCAGTTCTTAATGAGGCCCCATGTATCCTATTTATGATACTGGATGTATTATTTAAGCAGGTAGATTCCAATTACTGTAACATTTTCTATATTGGGCCAAAAGTTGCTGGCTTATGTATGAGGAATGTAACTCTTTGTTGAGATTTTGTAGGGGAAACATTCTCATTCCATTTTGTTGTATTTTAACATTCATGTTCTTCCCAGTGATCATTCTTCTCTTGGAGTTAATCCCAAGTTATATGTATGAACCTCTAAGGCCCCAGGAACTACTATTGTGGGCCACATACAATGATACTGAAGTTAATTTATTAAACAAACCAAACACAACCATTTATTCTACTAAATACCAAGTAACTAACCCAATTAGTAACTTATACGCTCTTTTGAACTGAAGTTCCCTACATACAATAGTAAAGCAGAATTTGGGACAATGACAATCAATTCATGAGAGTTTAGAAGGAGTTTATCTTTGTTGGATAAAGAATGGAAAATTAGTAAACCCCATTCTTTATCCAACAAAAATAATTGACCCGCTCTGTAGATTCATGGCCAAAGACTCCTGCACCACTATATCTAGACAGAATGAGAGTACAACCATCTTATTTTAAGGTTTAAAACCAGAGCCCAGAGTGGTTAATGAGTTTGCCTGAGATGACATAACTAGTAAATTGTAGATCAAGAACTAGCATTAAAGCCTATTCTCTGCTCTGATGGTTTAGCACAGTGCAGATCACATTGCTGTGCTTGGACAAAGGAGAAAGGCTCATTAAGATTCCTTTTCTTGAATGAATATAGCATCACTAAAATCGATTCTGACTTAGAGTATAGCCTTCCATCACTCAGCCTCAAAAACATTTGTTTTATCACACTTCCTGTCTCTCTTATGATTTTACCCATGTTGTGTTTAACAAAGTTGCATTGCTGAGTCTCATCCTATAAAGCAGAAACAGTTAATCTGGTGTGCTGGAGACAAGCTGTGCAGGGAATGACTAAAATATATCACCCAGTGCTACTCTGCATGAAAGCTCAATCCCAAGGAAGAATGACTTCAGCAACAAAAAAAAATAAGTCTTACTAATGCAATGAGGGATTCTTTTTCTCCCATAATATCTATTTTTGCCCTTTTTTATGTTAAAGTTTCTGACACTTTATAGAAAAATCTGAAAATATATATTTGAATAAGTTGGTTCTAATCATCTAAGTATGTGACTCAGTGCATGTATTGTCATGTTTCATCTGCTCCCTGACTCATGGTATAACCTTTAGCAGATTATTCATCTATGCCTCAGTTTCTTCAGTAGCAAAGCAGAATTGGTAATAATAATCCTATCACCTTTTGACTGAGATTTTGTTAGAATGTCTTAAAAGAAAGTGCCCTTAAAAATGTTCTACTTGTAAATCACTAGTCATAGTCCTTATTAATCATTTTCATTGTACAAGCATTAAGTAAATAGTACTAAAGAAGTCATCCTGGCATTTAAAATATGAAAACTAGGTTAACAAAAGAAGACATTGGCCATGAATCTACAGACTGAGTCAATGCTTTTTGTTGGATAAACAACTAGGTTTACAAAATCTGATCCATCAGACTTTGCTGTTCTAATTAGGCAAAGTACATTCTACACTATTGATTTGAAATGTTTAAAAGCTAAAAAAAAAAAAAAAGTCTCTCTTGATCTCTCCTCCTAGATCAGTGGTTCTCAACCTTTCTAATGACGTAACCCTTTAATACAGTTCCTCATGTTGTGGTGACCCCCAACCATAAAATTATTTCCATTGTTACTTCATAACTGTAATTTTGTTACTGTTATGAACTGTAATGTAAAATCTGTGTTTATATCATGGGGCAAAAAAATGTTAAATATCCCTGGCTTCAACTTTGCTTTTTAGCCCATGAGTCTAGTATGTCCAACCAAACTAAGTGGCCACACAGGGGCTCTGGACACAAATTTACATTATTTTTTCCTTGTGGATATACACAACTACTTGGCTTCTTGATAAGTAATTCAAAATATTTATTATATCTTCTGTTAACTTGAATTATAGCACAAGCCCTGGTTCAATTGTGAAAATGCCCTTCTATATTGTTCCTTGCTTTGCATTTTGAGATTATGTCCATAGAAGGAAAACAATCTAGAGGATAATTGAGAAATCTGAACAATATTTCATACCTCCAGCTACACAATACTATGTTTATATGGAGATCAGAAAAACAAAGAAAAAAACAGAGAATAACTGAGAATTCTCTTGCTCACTAAAATTGTTATCCCTCATTAATTACTTTCCCCCACTATGGATTAATAATTAAATGCCTTTCTCTATGGGTAATGATTAGGTCAACCAAGAAGAAGGCAGAGTCCCAAACAACCTATCTGGAATATAGTTTCATTTAACAATTATCTGAATTCTTATTCATACTAGACACTTCATGAAAGATAATAAAAGCTGGGTCTACTCTCTACATTATGCTTTGGCATCTCACATGGACAGATGTAACCACAAATAATTACTGAACTACCTGATGTTACAGTTATTGAGGTGTAAATTATTGCCCAAGTCATTTGTGATTAATAAAGCAGGAAGCACAAGTTTCTCAGAAGCTTTTTAATAAAGCTGCTGTACAACTTGATAATAAGTTAAAATGTTAGAGCAAGATACATTAGATCCAAAGGCAGAATTTCAAACTACTAAGAGTAACACCATCTAGTTTCCACAAGGGAACACCATTGAGCATCTGAGAGGACAGCCCAAGATAAATTCCATCTGTAGAAAAGAAATGCCTACCTATTTCTTTACATGTAAATACAAAGACTATGGGATTCCTAGAGATTAAAGATTACTTTGTCAAGACAATGAAAACTCAACCTCTTTGTTGCCATTTATCATGTCCTTCATGCTTACATTTTTGCATAGTTTAAGTGAGCTGTGCTGTTATGTCTGATTTTACTCATGGAGAACCAATTCTAATCATTGAGTATTTACAGAAAGTTTGCATTAAGCTTACAAGAAAGGCAGGTTTGAAAAGTGTCTTTTCTCTTAATAGCATTATTCAAATAAGCTGACACTACTCAGCCTGGTTCTCATCTTTAATATGCCTTTTGATCCTGAGGCCAGAGCCCATGAGGCTGATGCACATGGATATTGTCATTCCAGTTGGGAAGGATGAGTTCTTGCAGCAATGTCTGTGGGTCCAAGTCGGCACCAGCTGCTGCTGAGGGCGGGTACCAGCGCTATGGAGTCCGGTCTTATCTGCACCAGTTTTATGAGGACTGTACCACCTCAATCTGGGAGTATGAGGATGATTTCCAGATCCAGAGATCACCTAACAAGTGGAGCTCAGTATTCTGGAAGGTAAGTCAGAAACATGTGTTTAACTTAGGAAATGCAACAGCTATTGGATATGGTAAGTACTGTAGAGCTGTAGAGAACACTGAGCTTAGGAACGGAACTAAGTTTGTGCATCCCTCCTGGAGATAGTAGATACAGTTTGCTTCCCTTAGAAAAGTATTTTCAATAGAATATAAACCCTGAGCTGAACGAAGTCTCTAGACAGCATTTTTGTTGATTTTCAGGTTAAACATTAATAAATACAATTGCTCTCATTATTATTTTTGCTACTGTTATTAATGTGTCACTAAATTCATCAATTGTGAAGCCATTCATTGGCAAAATACTATATGCTTTCAGCATCTCTTACAGTCTTGGTGAGTATTATTTAACAAGTTGTAATAATTACTAGAAAGAAAGTAATTGGGTATTTAAAGAGAGTAAATACTGGGGCATAATAAAGTGGTCTGTATTCCAGCTCGAGCTCTACCAGATATATGATCATCAACTTCCTCTAATGAAGGAGACAGTATATTCAGTTATTCAACATATAATTAGTGAGCACCTATTCTGTGCCAAAATGTTGCAAAATGCTGGAGATTTTGGAGGGGTAAGCAAGAGGGGTAAAAGCCCTTGCTCTCATGGAACTTACCATCTATCATGGTAAACAGACCATAAAGAAAAAAGCACATAATAGAATGTCAGGTAGTGACAAGTACAATGAAGAGCAATAAGTCAGGAATAGAGGACAGGGAGTGGTGGAGGACAGGTATGTAGATATGCTGATCATAGAAAGGTTTCCATGGTAGATATTTGAGCAAATATGAGGATGAGCTGAGGGAGCAGACCATAAAATTATCTAGGGAAAATAACATATCTAAAGCTCTGGAATGAGAATAATTTTGATGTATTTGAAAAAATAATAAGAGGTATAGTCTTTTTGAAGTGGAATGAAATGGGGAAAAGGAAAGGTGATGGATTCAGGAAAACAACAGGGCTCAGATGACATATGTAGAGCCTTAAAGATGATAGCGAGGACTTTGACTCTTACCTGGAGAACCATGAGAAGCCATGTAAACATTTTATGCAGAAGAATTATGTGATCAAATTAGTACTTTAACAGGATAATTCTGGCTAGTATACAGAAAAGAGGTTATAGAAGGAAAAGCATAGAAGCAGCTAGTATAGGAGCTATTAAACTACTCCAATAAGACATAATGGTGACTTAAGGTGATGTTAGTGGAGATGGTGATAAGTGGTCAAATTTAGCATAAAGTTTGAAGACCAAGCTGTCAGGACATGCTGAACTAGATAAAAGTAAAAGTGGAGTCAAGCATGACTCCAAGGCTTGTAGCCTGAGCTGTTTAGTGAATGGTGTTATCATTTATTGGGATGGAAAACACAGGAGAGCAATGGGATGAGTGGGTAACTAAGAGTTTGATTCCAGCTATCCAACCATGTTGGTGATGCCTGTTAGACACGCAAATGGAAATCTCTAGTGACAATTTAACTATACTGATCTGCAGCTCATGGATTGAGAGTCAGTGGTATAAAGAATGTATATAGCCGAAACTGGGTTGGCTCAGTAGATAGAGCATTGGTCTGTGGACTGAAAGGTCCTGGATTCCATTCCGGTCAAGGGTATGTACCTTGGTTGTGGGCACATCCCCAGTAGGAGGTGTGCAAGAGGCAGCTGATCAATGTTTCTTTCTCATCGATGTTTCTAACTCTCTATCCCTCTCTCTTCTTCTCTGGAAAAAATCAGTAAAATATTTTTTAAAAGAATATATATAAAGCACTAGACTAGATGAGATCCCCTAGGAAGACAGTAGGGACATAGAAGAGAAGGGTCATTGGGACATGCCAACATTTAGAAATAAAGAAAAGGCTGAGGCCGAAACCAGTTTGGCTCAGTAGATAGAGCGTCGGCCTGCAGACTGAAAGGTCCCAGGTTTGATTCTGGTCAAGGGCATGTACCTTGGTTGCAGGCACACCCTCAGTAGGTAGTGTGCAAGAGGCAGCTGATCGACGATTCTCTCTCATAGATGTTTCTAACTCTCTATCCCTCTCTTTTCCTCTCTGTAATAATCAATAAAATATATTTTTTTTAAAGAAAAGGCTGAGGATTTTGGAAGGGGTTTTGAGAAGATACAGCCTTGCATGATGTTTCTGGTCCCCTCCAAGTATAACATTCTGTTCCCAGGGGTTTCCAATCATTCCGACTTTCTCCCACAATATCTCACAATTTTAGACACTGATATTGACATAAACTTGCAATTTATTGGCAATAGTGTAACAAGAGACAATGCAATATTATGATTATGAACATGGACTCTGTCCTCAGACTGCATGGTTCAAATATCAGCTCTTCCATTTAATAGTTCTGCAACTTTGGACAGTAATTCACCTTAGTGGGACTCTTATGGTAATAATTATAGTACCAACTAGATAAATTTGTGAGAATTAAATAAGATAATATTTACCTAGTGCTTAGAACAATGTATTCACTCAATAAGCATTCAATGTAGTAGTTACTATTACCAGGTGCCATATGGAACATTAAATCCTGAATTGGAAATAAAACTGGAAATCTAGTTAATAAACAAAATATTGGATAACAATTGTTAACATAGATTATCCAAGACCTGTATTAATTAAAAATCTCACTAGGGTCATGTGCTCTGTACTAGAATTGGTCAAGCTATCATCCTTGCCCTGTCACCTCTGATGAATCCTTACTGGCCTGGACCGATGAAATAAAGAGCCAAGCTTGGCACATACTGTATTTACCCACAAAGTGGGTGGTTGCTTCAGTATGTGTCAAAAAACAAATATTTGCCTCACAGATCTGTTGTGCCAAGAGCCTAAAATGCCACTGCCATACAGAACATTGTCAGCATTTATGTGGATCCAAAGCACTGATGATTATGTGATTTATTCTGCTGTAAGTTGATCAAATAATAAAAAAGTTTGTATTTGAAATAAAGAACTCACAGTAAATTACCAACCCCAGGTTTCAGATTTTAATATTCAATATTTTTTCCCTTTTATTTTTATTATTTTTTAATGTATTTTATTGATTTTTTACAGAGAGGAAGAGAGAGGGATAGAGAGTTAGAAACATCTGTAAAAGAGAATCATTGATCAGCTGCCTATTGCACAACCCCTACTGGGGATGTGCCCGCAACCAAGGTACATACCCTTGACCAGAATCAAACCGGGGACCTTTCAGTACACAGGTTGACACTCTTCCACTGAGCCAAACTGGTTTCGACCCTTTTATTTTATAACAAACAGAATAAAAAAGTATTCTTGTAGAGAAGAAAAACAGGCAAAATCCATAGCCTCATAGAGATTATATTATAGCAAAATCCAAATCTTAGACTCATATTCCAATCATTAACCTGGACTGGGCATTCAGAACCCTTCAGTCAACGTGAATAACCTAGGAATCACTGTCTTAGAGACCTCACCCCTACAAATGGAATAAACCAACCACCCTGGCCTTTCCTCATTGTAAATATAAATGAATTCATTTCAGTAGATTTTTGAAGTGCTCTCTACCAATACAGAGAAAGGAATTGGCTATGCATATGTTTCTGTTATGATTCTTTTTATTTTATTTTATTTTATTTTATTTTATTTTATTTTATTTTATTTTTTCATTTCAAATTGCATATGTAGGTGGTTCAAGCTCTGAGCTTCCCCTTCCCCTCTTCCATTATAATGTTGCCATGGTCATGTTGATATTTCCCTGGGGACTCGGCTCATAGTGTCTCAATGGGACTCTGCCCTCAAACCAGCTCCCTGGCAGTGGGCAGCATGGAGGGGTTAATGAGAATGGAGATTGGAATCAAATGGGGCTGAGGTAGATTATTTGCTCTGTCATATGGATCTACATAGCATCCATCTCACTGTGCTATTCTTTCTACAGATGTTTATAGGTCCACTGTGCACAAAATATGTGTTAGACTCTGGAGTTCAATTGTGAATAAAATGCTATTCTTTATTTGTGAATAAGGCATATTACTAATATAGCAAATGGAAAAGATAGACACATACAAAGATTGTTACAATCCTAAATTCTAAACATTCACTTAGAAGTAGTCAAAGTAGTTAGAAGCACAGGATGGGGAGAACCTAATGCAGCTGCTCCCCCTCTTTTCTCTCTAGACCTTCCTCCTATCTGCCCCGATCTCTCCATTTTCCCCAAGCTAAGTCAGAATTTAAACTTACTTTTATTTCTCTTCAAAGTATATATTACTAGATATTAAGGAGATGATTTCATACTAGAAATGAGAAACACTATGGAAGCCTCTTAAGAGACAATCCATGTGATGTTCGTTGTATTTTTAAATGTTTTTCTTAGGACTTGAAGAATGCATGAAGAAGGATAGGTCTACCAATGGAAACCATGAGAATGCTATTGTGATTATCAGAGCAAGATATAGTAATGGTTTGAGCCATTAGAATAGCTGTGGTAATTCAAGGTTCAAGAGAACTTTATGAGATAGAATCCATATACTTTAACTCACTATTAACTATAAATGTAAGGAAAGAGTCAGTGAATGGGTGGCTGGCAGGAACACAGATAGGAAAAATGGAAAGGAAGGAAGGAGTACCATTTTGAATATTTGGGTTGATGCGTTTTAGGGATATCCTCTTGTCTCTCCCCCCACTTCCCCACTGAGTGCTCCCAGTTACTACTATGACTACTTTTAGGGGAGTGTTTATCATATAGGACTGTAACAATCTTCCTATTGACTTATAAATATGAGGCTAGAGTCCAGGATAATTATTTAGGCTCAAGTTGTGAAGATTTGGAAGTCATTGGTATATAGGTGGTATTGAAATGTCAGCAGCAGATTAAACATTAGAGAGAACATATTGAACAAAGGGTATGAATCAAGGTGGAACCCTCGAAAACACCAATAATTAGGAACAATATCTGGCAAAGCAGGATGAGAGTAGATTGTTAAAGGGGAAGATGTAAAAAAGAGAAGAGAGTTGTATCAGGGGTAAACAATAGGTGAGGATTTGAAGGAAGCATGAGTGTTTAACACAATGACTGCAGAATATTCAAATGAGATAAGAAAAATCACATGGCATCTGAAAATTAGGAGGTCATTAATGACCTCAGAGAGAGCAATTTCATGGAGGACCAAACTTGGCTGTCAAAAGCAGGAATGACTTGAAGCAGTAGCTAGTGAGGATCGCAGAGTTTTAGAACAGATATTGAAGATTGAAGCAGCTGGATGTTTTCATGTGCAAGAAAGGAACAGAGCCTCTGTGAAGTAGAAGAACTAATGCAGGATAATGGGTACCACCACCCAGGTGAAGGGAGCTTGAACCCTGTAGGAGGTAAGGCATGTAAAAGGACCTAGATCCTAGTCTGGCATAGGTTTTCAACTTTGTAAAGCTCAATGTCTCGACAGGTAGGTCAGGCAAGAAGGTTCGGGATTAAGCTAGAATTTGTTATCTCTGCTGGCAAGCTGACACTACTCATAAGTCAGCTCCTGCTACGGAGAGGTCAGCAGCAGCCCTCAGGGCTAATGAAGAAAAGCCAGTCTTCACTCTTGATGTGCTTCCCCTGAATTACCTCTAACCCAGATGGCTCCTTTCACATTTAGCTCCATCCAGCATTTCCCCCCACATGCTGCTCTTCCCTGCCATACTAGTTCTTGCTTCCAACAGTCATTACTGCCTCCTCGCTGCCAGAACAGCTGCGTTGCTACTGCTGCCAAATCTGTTCATTGGAGTAAACTGCATTTTCAGAACTCATCAGCTCACGGAGATACAACGAAGGGGATGTTGGTCAAAATAACAGCATTCTCTGGCTTGTTGCCCCCAGCAGCAGAATTTCTGGAATCCAAGTTTTCCTCCCTATCCAGTCCTCTCTTCCAACAGCAAGGAGTAGGTTTTCACACAGGCTCCCTCCCCACACCCAGGGGAATCACCAGAAACTACAATTGAAAAGCTGTCCTTGCTGCTGTCTTTAAGCTTTGTCACAGCTCGGGGAGGTCTTTCTCTCTCACTATTGGTATTAATCTGAGCACCCCACAGCTCTGGACTGCTCTGGTATGCCTGGGGAGGCCTTTTGCCACAAAGTATTTCAACTCTTCTGCATGGCCCTAAACAGGGCTGCTTTGCTCTCTTCAACCCTCTAAAGATCTATGTATTGCATTTTTTAAAACTCTATTTAATAGAGCCCTTATCTTCTTAGATCTAGGACCACTGCAACTTAGAGACAGTGTGATATTGAGCATCTCTCTCAAGATTTTTTATTCTTTCCAGTATTCTAAATTAAGCTGATGCATGCCAGCATCCCTCCCCATCTCCATTATATTCTGAGGAAAGTTAAGATGCAGGGAAGTTTGATCCCATCTATGCTCCTTCATGCTTACCATCCCAACTTCTCCCTGATGTGTTTTAACAGGTTTAGAGTGCCTCTCTGGGAGCATCTCTTAAAGATTCCCATTAGACTTACATTCGTGGTACCTTCAGACTCTTTGGAGGTAGCTTTTCATTACATCGTATTTCCCTCCATAGATGGTAGGCATCTATCTCTCTGGTACATGGATATCACAAGGAAAAGGGAGAAGGCTCAGGGAGGCCAGCCACTTTTCAGTTCTTGAAGTGAGCAGACATTTTGCCATCTACAAGTCATAGTTTGCCTTTGAGCCTTTGACGACTATTCCAAAGCATGAATTTTGAACCCTAGAGCACTGCTCAATTGAAGAGCAGACTGCTCTGAGAATCAATGACGTGGCTCCATATTCAGCAGCCTGGTGGTTCATGTTAGCCAGTCAGGAATATTTATTGAGCACAGGCTGGGATCAGAGCTGTGGAAAGACAAGACAGAAATAGAAGCTGGAGAGCATTGGCCTCAGTTACTCTTAAGAAATTTAGAAGCTAAGATGGATACATTTTTGCTGCCCTCAATTTTTGAAAATTATTGCCAGTTCTTAGGGAGGAAGGTAATTTAGTGACATATGAAACAAGTCACCATGGATATTTAAGTTAATTTAGTTTGTGCATTCAAAATTTTCCAATGTGAGTCATTTTTTAAGTTATGTTTAAATAATGGTTATTCTTTGATGGTGAATTTATTCACCACCATTTTTAGAAAAATGTAGAAAGCTATTTGAAATTATAAAATAGAAAGCTATTTTATAACCCAATTTTTTTCTGTACTACTTATGTCTTATGGAGAATAGTTTCTTTTTTTTTTCCAGAAGAGATTATATTGACTTTTTTTGTTTGTTTTTAAGTTTTCTCACACTATTACATAATGGTATTTTGTCCATTTCTGGTAACAAAACTTTATTGTAATAAAAGCAAATAATATCAGGCAGCATACAAAATTATAATTGGTGAAGTATCATGGGAGAATAAAAGAGGTGGAGAGCTTAGAAGACCTGGGATAGAGGCCAATCAAACCATTTGCTAATTATAGGACCTTTAACTATGCTTCTTCAACCTTATAAACCACAGCATTTGATAGGTGAAATAGGAATAAAAATATCTACCTCTCGTAAGGCTGGTGAGGATAAAGTGAAAAGTACATCTAGCACTAGGCCTAAGTGATAATAGATGTTTTCAGCAAAAGATCACTGCCACCATTCCAATGCCAACAAGAGTCCCCAATGCCCAGTGTGGTAAAAGAAGAAACTTTACTCAGTTAAAACAATTTGCAAGCTGGAGAAACTCAGCCTCCAGCAGAAACTGAAAGTCAGCTCCCAAAGTCAGCTTTGCTTTATATAGGAAAAGCTTCCACCTTGGTCCCAGATTAGTCTATTTTTATGTAAATCAGGAATCCAAATTTCCACAGTTCAATTGGTTCAAATAGCAATGTCTTGGTTGGCTGGAATCCTATTCTGATTGGTTATTATGGAGCTGCTTTGATTGGTCAGTAAATATGTAAATGAGGGTATAGCTCTGTAGCTCTGATTAGATGAGGCAGGTCTCAGACTATTGGTTGAAATATGATGCCAGGAACTCCTTTATAAGAGTCAGCTCATTTTGAGCAGGAGTACAATTCAGGTGACTCACAGTTCAGCCTGTGGCTTTCTTATGAGACCTCTGCCAGCAACAGTTTTTAGACTCTGATTATGAATTTGAGTCCAATTAATCATCAGTTCTTCTTTGCATATATATTTCTTCTTGAGGTTCACAGTGCTCAATAATACTAATTTTCCTTTTGCCCCTTTGTTAAGGTGATGGGTTTGCAAATATTTTTTTTTCTATTATATAAACCTTCTTTATTAGTGTATTACCATGGGATTTAATTAATAAATAAGTTAAGTAAACATACTTTAAATGTTCAAGATTAAATGGTGTTATGCATTTGGTTATTTTTCCTACCTTATTATTCTAACTAAAAGCAATTAGAGACAGGATGAAATGAGACATGTGTTTAAAAAATAAATAACTATGTTAGCTGTTCTTTATTCTAAGTATTGAGCAATTGTAATGTGGTTGCCAATGTAGTGTAATTTTAAAAGAGGTACATTTCCAAACAATAACTACTAATTACAATGTATTACTTAGGCAAAGGACTAAGCCTTTCATGAATATCTCTTAGTCCTCATAACAACCCTATGAGGTGGGTACTATTATCATTTATCATTTTATAGGTGAGGACATTAATAAGAGTATTTAAGTAACTTTCCTTATATGATTCATTGCTAGTTGGCAGTGCTAGAATCCAAGTCTGTGTCTGTTAATTCCAAACCTCTGAGTTTAAACCACCAAATGGTATATTACTTTCCGTCTTCAGCATGTTACATTTTATTACAACTTGAGCTCATGTGGTGTAATTTCCATCTGCTATTCCTACCACTTCTCAGCATCTGCACAAGCCCAACCAAATAGCTCCTTGTTAGAGAAAGAGCACTGGCCTGGGGTCAGATATGTGGCTTCCAGCCCTGCCTCTGCAGCTTGCTAACTGTTCATCCTGGGTTGTGACCTACCCTCTGCAAGGTTACATCTCCTTAACTTTAAATGGTTATGGTTCCATCCCCACGGACTTGGGGAAGGGGTAAGTAGTTAGTTACACAGACTGTCGCTGTCTTCCAGCCAGAATCACCAGGAAATACCTATATAGTGAACAATTAACTTTATTAAGCATCATAGGGAGAGAGATGACACCGTAAAGGCTCCTGGACTATTTCAGTAAGGGAGTGTGAGGAAGGACATATAGGATGTGGGCTTTAGTTGGGTGAGTTGGGAGAGGGCCTAAGGGACTAGGAGCTCCACCTAGATTGTCAGGGGCAATTCTATGATTGAATTTCTTAATGGGTCTTATCTGCAGGGAGAGACTAAAGCTGCAATTGGTCTAGAAGCAGCAGTCATTCATATTGGACGAGAGGAGAGGTGGTGTTGGGTATTTGACCTTGTTTTGGTCTGTGCTCAGAGAAAACTGTGAAGTAGTCTTACTTCATCCTGGGGCAGAAAGCACCTGTCTATTGATGTTCTGTGGGACTGACTGTGCCAACAGGAGGACAACGTGGCCTCTCTGAACTCTGGGCAGCTGCTCACAACATAAAGGCCAAGGTAGACTCAGGCCAGCTCCTGGATATCAGGGCTGCTTTTCTCTTCCCAGTGAGACAATGTAAGCAGAAGGGAGCTTTGTCAACAACAAAGCATTGTGCACACCGAAAGCTCAGGAAAAAAATTAAGACAGCACTGCAGTTTCTGAAAGGTGCTCCTTTCACTGTCTTCTTTACCAGAAAATTATATAGGCTTCGTATATGTATTTGGGGCTGGCTGGGAAAATCTACTCCTCCTCCTCCCCCCAAAACAAGGCCCATCCTGGACGGCTCGGGGAGAGCTGAGGCTCTGTGCTCACCTTTCTGGCTTCATTGTGTCTTTCTTTTTCTAGGTCGGACTCATCTCCGGCACCATCTTTGTGGTTCTCGGACTGACTGTTCTGGCAGTGGGTTTTCTTGTGCCACCCAAGATCGAAGCTTTTGGTGAAGCCGATTTCATGGTGGTCGACACACACGCTGTCCAGTTTAATGGAGCCCTTGACATATGCAAGCTGGCGGGGGCCGTGCTCTTCTGCATCGGGGGCACGTCCATGGCAGGGTGCCTGCTGATGTCAGTGCTCGCGAAAAGCTACTCCAAAGAAGAAAAATTCCTGCAGCAAAAGTTTAAAGAGCGAATCGCAGACATCAAGGCCCACACCCAACCCATTACAAAAGCTCCAGGCCCCGGGGAAACAAAGATACCGGTCACTCTGTCCAGGGTTCAAAATGTCCAGCCTGTCCTGGCCACCTGAACCCCTTCCCCCACCCTCTCCTCTCTGATTTACACACATGGCTACCATGGAGCAGGCCAGCATTTGAGAAGACAAGAGTTTGGCCTTGATTTGCCCCGTGGCTGTCATAGGCTGTGCGCAGCAGAGGGCATGAGTTCACACTCACTGGCTCAGTGGCCCTGGTGAGGGGGGATGCCATGTGCCGACCTGAGCACAGGCGCCAGCTGCTTAGAGGGTGCCTCGGTGTGCCCTCAGGAGCCCCCTGAAACTCCCCTCTCATAGATTGTGGCTCTGTGTAATTTCCCGTGTTATTGGAAAGCCCTGGACATTTTAGACCAGCCTACCAGTCACTACCATGATCCCTTCATTTTCTAATATTCGTTTTTCTAATCTTTCCTGTGTGGTGCTGCCTTCTGTTCCCATCTCATTACATGTAAGATATTGTTATATGTGTTCCTAGAAAAATCGAGTTCCCCGATTTTAACCTGAACATTATTAGTCTTTTCACTATATCTTAACATGAGGTACTTGAGATTGGATACATTTGTTAGAGATCTTTACAAATCTTTTCTGTTTAGGTTTGTTTGTTTGTTTTTCACTTAAGCTGAAATTGCCAACTCTAGAATCTTCAGAAAGAAGTTTATGTTGGGAGAATCTATGGACACAATGTACCCAAAAGCACATAATTAGAAACCAAGAAATTTGGGGACTTCCTACTGCTAACTAGCTGTGAGACCTTAGGGGAATAATTTAATTCCCCAGGCCTCATTCCCCCATCTGTATAATGGGGGTGCTGGGCTGTGATGTCTGAGGTTCCTTTTTTGCCATCGTTGCCCTGTGGTTCTCACCATGGTGAGGTGAGGTTCTTTGAAACTTGGACTCCAGGAAAGCCTCCAAGTCAGTGGCCTCCATCCATCTACCCTTCAATATCTAACCCTGGCAGTTTCTAGGAGGCTGCCATATTTTTATAAAGACAATAGAAGCCATCCTCAATTAAGAAACCACTGAGTAGATATTAACCTTGAAAGGGTTTTTTTTTTTCTCTCCAATAAGACATTTTATTCTCCAGCAAGATATTCGTCTCATCCCTTTGACTTGTATTAAATATGTGGATCTAAATGGACTGAGGAAAATGGAAGATGTGACCTTGGTATTTATTCTCTCAGAATTTGTGCCCTTTGGTGTTCTCCACCTTCCCTCTCCCCTTCCTTCACTGGATAAATAAAGTATGTGAACCAGCAGAACCCAAATTGCATTGTCATTCCTTCAGTGTGGCTATTTTCTCTCCATCATGTAATTTTCCATCCTGAGACTGAATGAGCTCTGCTGTTCCCTGGCTAAATGGAGGAATAAATGAAGCAATTAGTGCTCTTTTGTGCAGACTGTTTGTTTTGCCTAGTCTAGCGTAAAACATGGGCAAATCGGCCCCTCAGCAAGGATCACTGGCCAGATTTGGGAGAAATCCTTCCAGTTCCTCAAGTTCTTTACCTCCCTATGGAAATATTTTTTAACATTTTATTCTTTGAAGCCTACAAGCCCCCTAGCACCTGCTCAAGGTAACAGCATTTGAAGCCTCCCAGCAGTGCTTCTGTGTTGGGTACCAATGAGTCTCTGAGGAAGAGACTGGACTTTAAAAAAAAATTATTGGTTGATTTGAGAGAGAGAGAGAGAAATGGACTTATTGTTCCAGTTATTTATGCATCCATTGGTTGATTCCTGACCTGGGATCAAACCTGCAACCTTGGTATATCAGGATGATGCTCTAACCTACTGAGATGGCTTTTAAAAGCCTTCAAAATGAGAAATAATAGCTGTAGGGCATGGAAGCTTTTGGGTATAGGCATGCTGGTAGCCACTAAAAAGAAGTTCTATTCCTCAAAGGCCTAAAAGGATTTGAGATGGATACAGTAGGATCTGGGTCTGAAAGATTAGCTCAGCCTAAGCCTGTCCTTCCTGTCCTGCCCGGGCCTTAAGAGAGTGGGGACTTATAAGGAGGAGGGATTGAGAGATCTTGTAGGAAAACAAAAGAGGCTGATTGGTATAGGAAACAGAAGTTTTTTAAATTTATATAGGTTATAGATCCCCTAACTTCATTAATTGCCTTACTATTTCAATGCATAAGCACACAGGACCACAAGCCAGAGATCTTATAGGAAAGCAGAAAAGGCTCATTGGTACCCAACACAGAAGCACTACTGGGAGGCTTCAAATGCTGATCAAGGAAACATAACTTGATCTTTGAAAAAAGTACAGGCCCTGGGTAATCTGAGGGCAGGGAGTAGCAGACCAAATGCTTTTTAAAGTGATTTTCAGGCTCGGTTGGGGAGACCTTAATGGTAAGACATACCAGATGCTCTTAGAGCATTGGCCTCAGCCTGTTTGTTTGACTGAGCCAAGCCTTCCCGTCTGTACTGAAACTTTTGGAGGAAAGTGTAACTACGTACCTATGGATGGGGACAGAGGCAGGAGAGAAGGTGCTGAAACTGAGAAAGGAGATCTGGCAGCTAGATATGTAAGCAGAGGCACATGGAGTTGGTAGAAACCTTATGTGGGCCCACCCCAGGCAGAAGGCCCCACCCACCTCAAGTCAGCACTGATCCAGCAACTTCTGTCCACTTGGGCACCTCAGTGGCTGAACCCTACTGCCTCAGAGGGTAAGCCGCCACATCTTATGATGGCTCTATATGGCTAGAAAGCTTACTCTCATGTCATTCCAAAACCCATCTTTCTAACTCTCCTGCACATTGGACCAAGTTCTAGAATTCAAAGTTACCTATAAGTCTAACCCCTTTTACAAAGGACCACCTAATTCACCACCCACCCCAGGCTATGAATTTTTTTTATTCCATTATTATTTTTAATCCTGACATCTCCTAACTGTCATCTTCAGAGAGATGGTCCTATATGTTCTCAACGTTCCTAATTGTCCATGCCAATGATTGAATGGGGTCCCTAGAAGTTTTTTAATTTATGTAGGTTATAGATGCCCTAACTTTGTTAATTGTCTTACTTATGCAATGCATAAGCACACGGGACCACAAGCCAGAAAACTGATGACAGATGTGAAAGCAGCTCCTCCGTGCACTTCCTTGGCCTCCTGTGACCTGCCCCATCCTTTCCCAGTTTTATTCTGGCACATGTGCTGGAACCTGCCGCTCTCTCAGCTGCTCTCTCCCCAGAATGTGCCTGCATTTTCTTGCCACCCTGCCTCCACTCACAAAGCTGACTTTCCCAGCAATAACCCCGGGCCCCTTCTCTGGCTACTGATCCTCTCATTTAAGGCCACATCAAGAAATACAGTCATAGCAATATTGGTGAGCTAATATGTATTGAATGGAAGGCACCATGGATTTTATGTATAGTAATTCATTTACCCCTCACTAACACCCTAGGAAGTCAGGCTATTATCATTTACCCATTTGACACATGCAGAAATAGGCAGAGATAACATATCTAAGGAGAAGCAGTAAGTGATGATGGAGTCGGGATTCAAAGCTGAGCAGCCTGGCTCACAGGCTGCAGCTGCACTTTCGTTCAATAACAGTTCTGCCTCTGGAAATGTCACCTTCTCTGAGTATCTTTCTCTCTCACTCCCGCTCCGTCTCCCAGGTCATACTTAATGTCTCTTCCTCAAGTGCCAGCACTTTGTACAAATACATTCTGTTGCACTTATCTCCCTTTATTATAGTGATTTGTTTACACATCTGTTTCTTCCATTAGAAGCTAGACTATTAGTTGCTTGCGTACAGGGAGCATGACTTAATGAGTGGTGAACCCTCAAGAGCAAATGCATAAAAGCTATGGGCTACTATTACAGGGTTATTTAAAACAATTATTGCATTTTTTTTAACCTAGAGCTAGACATTGTGCTAGCACTACAGAAAACAAAAGAGATGTTTAATAGGGAGACTAAAAGATTTTATATTTAATGAATGTGTGTGTGTGTGTGTGTGCGCGCGCATTTGGACTGAGACTGAGAATATGGCTATGAGTACCCCAGAACTTCTTCTCCAGCTAACTTTGGGGCTTGGGGGACTCCAGGCTAATGGCTATCTTGCCATATCCCATCTAAACGCAACATCCTCCAGCCAATGAGCCCTGCTTGCTGACAGAGCTACCAGTCTAAGACTGTTCCTGGGGGAGGGAGATGGACGAGCTGTGCCTGCCTAGAAAAGAGCAGAGTCCATAGTCTCCAGCAGCTCTGGATAAACACCTGATTCTTCTTTCTTACATAGGAATGTGAAACCGGAACCATGACATCTGAGGAAAACCAGCATCTTGAAAGAGGATATACATAGAAAATAATAGACTCCGTGGGAGATATAAGTATTTCAGAAACCATAGGACAACTCTAAAAAAGTCTAGTCTTCAAGAAAAAATTGCATAAATTAGATAAAAATAGAATACTATGAAAAGGAATATCAAGTAGTTTAAAAACAACACATTCATAAGAGAATAAGTTGAAGGTATTTTCCCAAATAAAATATCTCCCATAAAATTAAATTATGAAGCAAAAAAAAGGAGGGGGGAAGAGTAATATACAGAGAATCAGTCTAAGAGAAAAAGATAACAGGAAAAAGTAAAGAAGAAATTATTAATAAAATAATAGAAGAAAATTTCTCCAAGCTGTAGAATATAGAAATCTTTATATTGGAAGTGCCTGCTGAATACTCAGCAATGTGAATGGTTTAAAAAAGTCATTTTTGACAATATACAGATGATGTATTATATATATGTGCACTTCAAACATATATAATTTTATTAGCCAATGTCATCCCAATAAATTTAATAACAATTTTTTAAATCCAAATAAAAAATTGAAACATTCTTATGAATTTTGAGAACACAAAAGATAAAAAGGATCTAACAAGCTTCCAGAAAGACCAACAAGAACAAAGCAATAAAACTTAGATTGGAAAGGGAAAAACTGTGATTGCATGCAACTGATAGTGAGGTAACTTTTAGTCTACAAAAAATAGATATGCTCTATGAAATAGAAAAGATAAAAACCATAGAAACTCCAAAAATAAAATTTTAATATAAACTGCACAAGAAAATTATAGCCCAAATATTAAGCATGACTGTGGAATCGTGGGGGAAGAATTGATAGAGTGCAAGAACAAAGGAGCCATTTGAACTTTGACCTTCCTATTGGGCACATCCATTTCTAGTAGAACAGGAGCTGGATGCTGAGGGCTCTGCAGACACAAACATTTCACAAAGTCCAACCAGTTGTTTGCTTCTTTCCAACTTCCAAAGTCAAACTATGGCAAAAGGAAAATCTAAATAATGATTATAAAATAGACTGCATATGTTATAAATTTGAAGATATTAAAATAAAGGTAGAACTAGCAAATTTTGGAAAGCAGATGGGGAAAAGGATTAAGAGGAGATTATGGTGTAAATACTAATGCCCTCATCTAATTTAGTGAGGAAGCAAGGGTAATTGTCTCACATTT